GCGGGCCAGTCTGCCACTTGTGTGATTTGAACTGCACGCGTGTATGCTCTGGCCCAGTGCTTGTGTAAACTGCACCTGTGCGTGTGCCAGCCTGCTGCTCGCACGGCCCTGTTCCTCTCTCCCCCTCACCAGGATGCCAGGCTGCAAAGGTTAGACCGCTGGTTTAGATGACAGGCTGACTGACGACTAGTTTGCTGCATTTTCCTTTTCCCCGAGAGCATCTTATTTGCATTTAAAATGCATTAGTAATGAATTGTGTTTTAGATGTACAGATATTTTTAATTACCATACAATGATTTTGAAAAAAAATGAATTTTGAAATTTTCTAGTTTAATATTATATCCATATATTGATACTAAATTTTTTGAAAAAGTACACTTTTAGAAATTGACAAATTTCAATATAATTTAATAGTACCAGTGAAAGCTTTTCAATGTCTGTGAGCTCCCTAGTTTCCTTTTCCATATGTATGAGAGCCTTGGTGGCGCAGCAGACTAAAGCACTGTTAAGAAACACCAGCTGCCTGCAATTACTGCAAGTTCAAATCTCACCAGGCTCAAGGTTGACTCAGCCTTCCATCCTTTTGAGGTAGGTAAAATGAGGACCCAGTTTGTGGGGGCAATAAGCTGACTTTGTATAAAAAAGAACACCGCTTGGGAGGCCCCGAAAGCCCTACTAAGCGGGTATATACAAAAGTATGAAGGCTATTGCTTAATGCATTGTAAGTCCCCCTGAGTTTCCAGAAAAGGGCGGCATATAAATCGAACTAATAAATAAATAAATAAATAAATAAGTAGATGTAAATGTTGTACCTACTTTGTACTGTATCCTTTGCTGTTGGTTCTATTATGTTCCTCAGTGGCAGCATGTATATAAAAATAATCTCTGCTGTGGTTTGTGGATCTCTCATTCACAAGTTCTCTAGAAAACATCCTTTTACACTTCCATTTTTGCTTTATCAAGCTTTTGTATGCACAAAGGCCCAATCAAATGGATTTTATATGCAGTGGAACAAATTTGCAATGCATGGTTCTGTCTGTGCAATGGTGTTTTTTCTTCTATGGAACCCTGTGCTACTGCTCATCTTCCTCCTCCTAAAGGCAGCGATGGGAGAAAGGAAAGAGATCCTGAATTGTCCCTTAATGTTTCCTTTGTTCACGTGCTCTGCCATCTCCATGCCATTTTCTAAAGGCAAAAGTCTGATACCTTCCATTCATTTCATTTGACTAAAGTAACAATGAAAAAAACTAGCTTTCTTCTTCTTCCCCGTCCCACATATTTTTCCTGTCATATATCCATCTAGATTTAATGAACATTGCTTGAACAGCTGTCCCTTTCTTCCAAATGATCTGTTGGATTGTGGTTTCACTTTAGCAAGTTTCAGAATTAGCCTGGATTGATATTTACATTAGAATAAGCTACATCGTAAATTTTGTAATGTAGTAGTTGTTTATGGTGCCAGAAATTTATTTAGCATGTTTACTGCAAATATTTTGCATGAAATTGTACATAGATACAGTAAACAGCTAAAATATCCCCATAAAAATTATTCTAAAGTTTAAAAATAATATCACCACCAGCAACCCTTCTTGCTTACCATCAGGTGGGATCAGGAAGGGAAATTGCATTAAAAATGCTAAATTAACCAAAGAAAAAAAAAGTTGGCTTCTATGTTTGAAAGAATATGTTCTCTAGTATTGAATATGATTCAGGATTCTTTCAATTGCATTCTTTGACAAATCATTGCAATTCTAATAAAAAATTTTACAGTAATCCTTCTAGTATTCCTTCCTTTTAGTTTCATCTCAAATAATTAATTTTATGATGAAAGCCCACCACATTTTTGCTGTAAACATTCTTTTGTATGCATTTTGTTTCTTATCAATCATTTCTTGCAGTTTATCAGTCTATTAAATATCCATTTACATATTTCTCATTAATGTAACTCCACTCACTTAAGTGACCCTCTTCATTTAATTATTTTTATGCTGGTCCAGGGTATTTGTATACATTCATTACATCCTGTTTCTACTTGTTCTGTCGAAAATTGAATTCATCTTCCAATACTTTTTTTTTCTTTTGTATTTTTCATTTTCTCCAAGATCCACTCGACATTCCTAAATTACAAACTCATTGCTGTAATTCACTCATTCTTTCAGGTTTTTTTATCATAAACAGTCACATTTATTTATTTATTTATTTATTTATTTATTTATTTATTTATTTATTTATAATATAAATACATAAATAAAAGCATATCTTAAAACAGCATTAAGAACAAGTTAAAACTTAGAAGTAAAATTAAATCAGGTTAAAAATTCAAAGGCTAACAAAACAGTTGGACAGTCTTCAGGTCACCAGCCATCCCCAGGGCTGTTGCAACATACCGTATTTTATACCCCCATGGTATAATAGGGAGTTTCCAAATGGCTTCATTGAGCTTTCATTCATTTCATCCTTTTGTCTCATCCAAACCCATCTATCTGTCACCTAATGTCATTTTTTCTCCAAATTGCATGTATTCAGAATGTTGCATATTTTTTCTAAAACTTAACTGTGGTTCTTTCATTATCATCATGCAACTATCATACCTCTGTGGATATGTGCTTTTATATGCATCAACTGCAACATTCTTTTTCTATTCCATAATGCTATATCGGTTTTTATTTTCTTACTTTGCCAGCAGACATCTGGAAGTGGGTAACAATTGTAGAAAAGTAAAAAAGATAAAAAAAGAACATTTGTGTTATTCCACACTAAGGTTTGCTACTCTGTTTCTCATCTTTGTCCTTATAAAATGACAAGGGGAAAAGAGAATGAATGCTTTTTCATTTCGTGTTTGCTGAAGTGTCATGGAAATGTGGGTAAGAGTAACATGGAATGGAGGGGACAAAGAGAAGTTAAAGTTACTCAGTTGTTGCTGCCATTAGTAAAACCGGAGAAGATGGGAAGGTAGAGGGGTATACAGTGAGAAAAGACATTTGTCTTTAATTACAGTAATTGCAGTATATATGCTGGTCTTTAACTGTAATAAATATTTGATTTGATGTGTACTTTATTAAAACATTAATAAGGTTACTCTTCTATGTAGTATTTTGAGCCAGATATCTCCTTAGAATTCCCAATGTATTTATGAGCCAATGCAGTTGTCTAAAAGCACTCAGTGTGCATGTTGTTCAGTTGCTAAGTTGTGTTTGTCTCTTTGCGGCCCAATGGACCATAGTATCCAAGACTTTGTCCTCCACTTTGTCTCTTGGAGTTTGCCCAAATTCATGTTCACTGTAGCAATGACGCTATCTAACCATTTCATCCTCTGCTGTCCCCTTCTCCTTTTGCCTTCAATCTTTCCCACCATCAGTGTCTTTTCCAACTCAGTGTGCATACTGTTTTCAAAATACAGGTCCGTATAGTTCCAGAATTTTGTAGTCTTTCCTTTTGGCTAACCTTGACAGCTTACCTACAGATCTTGCTGTCTCAGTATTAGCTTAATCAGTCTTTCGTTGCAGTCTTGTCATAGGGCACAAACTTATTACTTCTTTTCTAGCTAATGCCATACTTCAGATGCTCTCAACTTGTTTAAGCAATTTTTTTTCTTAATATAAGTCAAATTTGATATTTTGGAACTTGATTTCAATGTAAAGTGTTAGGTCACGAACTTCATTCAGAACTGAGATTCAGAACTTCTTTAAAAGTCACTCTATGGCCTTGCAATAAATGTTTGAAGGACAACATTATCTTTGTTGTACCAAAGTGACTTACCATGTCTTATGGCTTCAAATGAGCTTCTCTCTTTATTTTTTCAGTACAGACTTTGCAGTGAATAAACACTCACTTCCACATAGTAAAGATAATGGTGACAACGCCATGTCCACTTTCTGTCTTAGTTCTTTTTGGTTATGCTGAATATGTATTTTTCTAAGTATTTAATGACGCTAAAACGCTGCTTTTAGGCTAAACAAATATTACATAACATTATTGAGCTGTGAAATAGAGGGAGAAAAAGCTTATACCGCAGTTTAAACTGATAAGCTTTATCCAAGAATAGTCCATTTGAGATATTTTCTGTAAGTAAATTAAATGTTTGCCATGCTTTCTGTATCAGCTAGTTCAGTGCCATAGCTAAATACTGGGCTAATCTGGTTGATTTAACTGCAACAGATGTCAATGATAAATAATCTATAAAGTTATTTAAAAACTACTTTAAGAAGTTGAACTAAGCCTTAATGTTTGAACATTTTATGTTTCTTAAAAGTATAACCATGTTAAATGTTGTATGGAATATAAAGTTTGCAAATTAATCTTATATTTTTCTGATTTTTAGTCACAAATTACCACCTGTATCAGTTTTTCTTAAAATTTTTGGAGAGGAGTTTGTTAAATTTTAGTTTTAGCCTTATGTTTTCTGTAGTTGGAAAATGTATCTGAACTCTCTCTCTCTCTCTCTCTCTCTCTCTCTCTCTCTCTCTCTCTCTCTCTCTCTCTCCCTCCCTCCCTCCCTCCCTCCCTCCCTCCCTCCCTCTCACTCGCTCTCTCTCGCTCTCTCTCTCACATACACACACACAAGCAAACACAAAATTAAGAAATATTAATACACCAAGAAGAAAACTTGTTTAGTTGTATTTTTTCAGTTATCTAGCAAGGAGGCACTGATTGAAAGATTGAATTTGTGTATTAATTGGAAATTTACTATATAGCAAAATGTTGTTATATTGGCATATACGGTTACTTGTGTCCTATTTCGATAGGAAAAATAAATAAAAATGTCCATTGAAGAACAAATACAGTGCTTAAATAATAATAATTAATGACACACTATGTGTATGTGAAACTTTCACTGTCGGATTTATATTTCATTGTGTATGTATATATGAAACTATGTTTCACTGTAAGATTTAATTAAGAATAGATTTTCATAGGAGTATATTTTATAGAATTACATTGATTTAAGATCGTGACAAACTAATACTTGGTTTCCCCCCATACCTGTGTTCTCTCCTTAGTAAAGGAGGTTTGTTGCCTAGCTTGGAAGATTTGCTCTTCTATACTATTGCAGAAGGACAAGAAAAAATACCAGTTCATAAGTTCATCACAGTAAGTTTTTTATCATGTTTCTAATAAATTATGTGCTAAGTAAATTAGCCTTATATCTTTTTATTTTTGAAAAAATACAGGTTTGGTAATGATCAGGTTATGGGAAGGTTACTAAAACTCACAGAAATTTTAAGTTTTAAAGAAGGCTGCATTATCATTTTACTCACATTTAGGGAGTGTGGCTATACGTATTTAAAACAAAGCACTGAAAACAGAAATGTCTTGTGAGCTATCTATTGCAGTCTATTGGAAAAGAAGATCAGATGGGAATCAGAACCAATGTTACGTGAATTAGTGTTCAGAAGAAGAAATATCTTTGATGCCTTTTTTATTTTACAGGCTTTAAAATCTACAGGTTTACGAACAGCTGATCCGAGACTGAAAGAATGCATGGATATGTTAAGATTGACACTTCAGACAACATCAGATGGTGTCATGCTAGATAAAGAACTCTTTAAAAAGTAAATACCTTAACTGATTTGCTACAACTTGTTTATAGTATAGAATAATGAGGCTAGTACAGAATGATGTAAATGAACACTGCTCAGAAATATTTTTCAATATGCAATTCCCCCACATCTCATTTCACGGAAGGAGGAAGAGCACAGAGGAGACCAAAAGTGTGCATTATGTCAGTAGTTGACATATTAGCTTCACTAAATAATATCTTTGGATACAATTCTATTCTTTAGATTTCAGAAGCACTTTTATTATTTCTGTGAAAGACATATGGTATTATCACTCATGTAATAATAATTTTTTTGTATTTCACAGATGTGTCCAAAGCAACATTGTATTACTAACTCAGGCTTTCAGGCGAAAATTTGTCATTCCTGATTTTATGTCATTTGCCTCTCACATTGATGAGTTATATGAAAATGCTAAAAAACAGTCAGGAGGGAAGGTAAGTGTCTTATTAAAAATAATTGGTGGCAATATAGAGATGGCCAGCTGCAGTTCATAGTTGTTTGTGCCCTTCAAGTCATCCTGAGATCATGCCACCAATCTTGGTGGAAAGATATAGAACAGTGGTAGTCAACCTGGTCCCTACCGCCCACTAGTGGGCATTCCAGCTTTCATGGTGGGCGGTAGGGGTTTTGTCCGATACTGAAGCACTTTCCTTTTTTTAAATTTAATTGACTTTTAAAAAAAAAATTCATAGCATTATTTAAAAACATTTTCATTAGGTTTTCATAAAATTCCCCGTGACAATTTAAATTTCTGAAAATATACTATTTTATTTATTTATTTTGCTTTAATTTATATGCTGCCCTTCTCCGGAGACTCAGGGCAGCTTACAATGCATTAAGCAATTTGTATCTATTTGTATCGCCTGCGCATAAGTTTAGTTCATGTTACGTAAGTGAAACTAAATGGCGCTATAGTGCGACCGCAAACAAAAGAGCCTTGTCCCAGAATAGCTCGCGCATCTCCCCCTACACCACCCAGCTGTAACAGACAAGCAGAACTGGTAGCCGGCGCACCCCCCCAACCCAATCCATGATGCGCGAGAGGCATGCGCAGATGACGATACACGCCACAGGCTCTTTTGTTTGCGGTCGCACTGGTCAGTACGCATCATAAAACATTATCCAATGAGGCAATGAAGCCAAGTTGATTGCGAGAACATCTTTCTACAAAGCATCCAAATGATAAGTACAATCCCATTGAATATTTTCAGGAAATATATAAAAAATTTCAAAATTGTTCAACAGTCGTTGCATAATTTAAGAAACAACATGCTGCGAACAAAGATGGATCAATTGCCGCTTATCGCATTTCACAATTAATTGCAAAAAGTGGTAAAAGCTATACTATTGGAGAAACTGTAATAATACCCTCTATAAAAGAATTTATCTCAACAGTAATGCATCAGGATATACCTGAAATTTTAAAAACGTTGCCCCTAAGTGATAGCACAGTAAAACGATGAATTGAAGAAATGGCAGTTAATGCTGAAAAAAAACCTTATAAGTATTCTCCAAAACTCTTCATTTTCCATGCAATTGGACGAGTCTACCATTGCAGATAATAATGCTTTATTGATGGCATATGTACGTTATTTTGATGAAAACAATATATTACGAGAAGAAATGCTGTTCGCAATAAATCTCAGTACAGATACAAGAGGATTATCTATATTTAATACTGTGAAATCATACTTTACAAAAAATAATATTCCTTTGAATAATATTGTTGCTGCGCTACTGATGGAGCACCATCAGTGGTAGGTCGCTATCGTGGATTTGTTGCTTATCTGAAGGAAGAAGTGCCAAATGTTTTATGTATTCATTGTGTGGTGCACAGACAACATCTTGTAGGAAAACATCTAGGTACAAGTCTCCATTCATCATTAACTATAATAATTCGAGCCATAAACAAGATCAAATCCAATGCAAAAAATGATAGAAAGTTTCGACAGCTTTGCCAGGGCAATAATGAAGATTTTATTACGTTACTTTTGCACACAGAAGTTCGGTGGCTGTCAAAGGGTACATCTTTGGCTCGTTTTGTAGCATTATATGATAGTATCATACAATTTTTTGAGAGTCATAATGAGACCAATCTGTGTCAACAGTTAAAAACAGTAAAGAATGATGCCTTTTATTTGACAGATATTTTCAAGAGATTTAATGATGTCAATTTGCAGCTTCAAGGAGCTAATAAACTCTTATAGGTTGCCAAAGTATTGTGTCATTATTTATTGACAAACTTGAACTACTTCGTTATAATCTATTGAAGAGAGAATTTCATCAGTTTCCTGAATTATCATCTATAAAAGATGATATAAGTCCAGAGGATATTGACAGATTCAGTAGCCACCTCAACGAACTTAAATTGGACATGGAAAAACGATTTGAAGATATTTTGAAATTGAAGGTGTATGACTGGATGAAAAATCCTTTTACCGCAAATATTGAAGAGGCTGATACAACTTGCCAAGAAGAACTGTTAGAAATTAGATATGATGAAGAAAGTAAACATAAATTTGATAGTGGTGGATATGAAAACCTATGACAAAATAAAAAAATTCCTGTCTTATATCCAAATATGTGGAAAATGATATTCAGTTTATTGATACCTTTCCCTACCTCATATCTTGTGGAATCAGGCTTTAGTACTGTTAATCATATTATGACCAAAGAAAGAAACCGCCTGAATATTTCCGAAAGAGGAGACCTTCGTTTGTTCCTTACAAAAATTGAGCCAGATATCCAGTATTTAGTTTTGCAGCATCAGCCTCAGGGATCTCATTAATAATTTAATTAATTAAATGTAATTTCATCAGACTTCATGCTTCTATGTATGCAAAATATAAATAAAAAGATAGATTTAACTACAGTAAGTTGTTTTATAAAGATTTATTCTGCCAAACTTAGCGAAAGTCCGACATAAAGTATTTGGTAAGTAATTATTATTATATGCTTTAACTTGCTGTAACTCTGCTTTATAAATTTTATAAAGTAAAGTTACTTCCCTACTTTATAAATCACCATTACTGTGGAACCGGTGGGCGGTTAGACAATTTTACTACTAACAGAGATACAAAAGTGAGCGGTAGGTGTAAAAAGGTTGACTACCACTGATATAGAATGTTCTCCGTGTGATTTTCATTGATCTGTGGACAGAAGGTTAGTTTTAAGTACAAATAATCTTCACTTACCAATTGCTCATTCAGCTTCTGTTCAAATTTATGGCAGTACTAAAAAAAGAAAATTACAAATGATTTTCAGAGTTGTTGCCGTTCTAATGTCTTGATGGTTATGTGATTGCGATTCGGCATTTGGCAGGCAATGCATGCAATATCCCATAATCACCATTTGCTTCTTTCAGAGCTGGCTTCCAAAAGCAAAGTCAATGGGGAAGCTAACAAGTCATGTTCAAGTGACATCATTCTTGAGGACCCACAGTGATTCACTTAATAACTGCATCTAGGTTTGATAGTGTAAATCAGTACAGTCATGTGGTATTTCACTTTACAACTTTCAGTAAGTGAGGACTATCTGAATAAGTTAGTGATAGACTTCTGTGAGATAAAACACTCCCTATTTTTCACAACCTGCTAGTTCCCCAAAACGAAAAACAGATCAAATTTATTCTGTTGTCATCTGTCCAAAGCTTTCTATAGTATGCAGGCAGGCAAAGAAGTTACCCAGTCATGAGGTAGGCTAGTGCTATTTTCTTTAAAAAAATTACAGTTGGAATTTCCATTTTTTAAAAATGGAAAAATTTCCATTTATATATATTTTATATATTTATAAAGAGATGATTTGTCAGAGAATCCCACAAAGAGGGTTATCGGTACACTTGTACATTTACTTTGTGTTTCCCAACAATTGATATTAATAAGCATAGATTGAACAGATTTTTGTTTTTCCTAATTTCTTTTCATGTAGCATATGCAAGTGAATATATATAGTAAGTTCCATGGTTTTTTTTAAAATTGGAAATTTAAATATCTGTACATATCTCCTATATCTGGGACATCTAAGAAAATGGAGCACAGAGGTATTATTCCCCCCAATCATTTTGTTGTTTTTTTTTCCTTATGTGTACATCTTATAATTAAAGCAAATCCAATAGAATATTGGAATATTTAAGACAGTAAGCTAGTTTTTGTTATGTGTTGGATTTTTAATACTAACCAGTAAGTGAATGGTATTTTCCCCCTTCTATCTGTCTTTTCTGGCAGCAAGTATTCTGTCTCTAGAATATTTTTATACTTGCATAAAAGAACAGTCATAATTTTATATAAGATGCTATCATCTGAAAAAAACAGATTACATTAATCATTTGGTATAATACCGTTCTTATGAAAATATTTTATTATATAGTAATATAACTTTTATTAAAGTTTGCAAATTACAATAATTAAAAACTAGTGTAAACTAAAAAAAGAATTTAAAAAATTGAAGATGCAAAAAGAAGAGAAAGAAAAGGAAAAATAGAAAATAAAGAAAAAAATGACTTTCCTCTTCATCACAAGTGTAAACAATTTTAGTAACTTATCACCTTCTTTTAAAATGAAATAAATTGTCTCTTCTTCCCATACCCCTTCTCTTTTCTATTGACAAATCCATATACCGTATTTTTCGGGGTATAAAACACACTTCCCCCCCTTAAAAGAGGGTGAAAATTTGGGTGTGTCTTATACACCGAATGTAGCCCCACCCACCAGGGATGGGTTCTAAAAATTTTTTACTACCGGTTCTGTGGGGTGGCTTGGTCATGTGATGTGGGAGTGGTTTCATGGTCATGTGACTGGGTGGGCGTGGCCAACCCAATGTCACTCAGGTCAAGTGGTCCCTCGCCTGGCCCCTCCCAGAGATTCCTTGTCACACACAGCCTCAACGTATCTATAGTTCTGTAAAAATGTTGTTCACCTTTTTTCAACGTTATTATCTACATACTATAGATGTACTTTCATGGACCACTGAAAGGAGGAAATGGCTCACATGCTTTGCCCAAGAGTGTGATAGGCAACAGGTTTTTAAGGGGCTGCCAGAAAGAATGTATAGGCAATGTATTTTCCAAAGCACCAGAAGGCAAAACAAGAAGCAATGGATGGAAACTGAACAAAGAGAGAAGTTAATTTTTCTCCTAAAATTAAGGAGAAACTTCCTGACAGTGAGAACCAATATAGGTGCAGAAATATTTCAGTCATAATTTCACATATAAAATAGCCATTCGTGCATATTGTTCAAAACAGTAATTAGTATTAAGGCTGATGTTTAACAGCAAGCGTAAAAGTCAAAGATCACAAGAGTGTTTCTTTCTCTGCATGTATACAAAACATCACATACCAGGAATAGCATATTAAGATGGATTTATGCAACCTGATGTACAAAATAAAAACACACATATTTATGCTCTGGACTATAGACATTGAATGCATGTAAATCG